CAGGAAGTTGTGACGATTTGCTACGAGGTAGGCGAAAACCAAAGGGACGCAGGTGGCGCTGTGGGTTAAACCGCAGAGCCTAGGACTTGCCAATCGGAAGGTCGGCGGTTCGAATCCCCCACGACGGGGTGAATTCCCGTTGCTCGATCCCTGCTCCTGCCAACCTAGCAGTTCGAAAGCACATCAAAGTGCAAGTAGATAAATAGGTACCGCTCCGGCGGGAAGGTAAACGGCGTTTCCGTGCGCTGCTCTGGTTCGCCAGAAGCGGCTTAGTCATGCTGGCTCCATGACCCGGAAGTTGTACGCCGGCTCCCTTGGCGAGTAAAGCGAGATGAGCGCCGCAACCCCAGAGTCAGCCACGACTGGACCTAATGGTCAGGGGTCCCTTTTACTTTAGGCGAAAACCAAGCGGCTGGTGCCAATTTGCCAAGTGGAAAAATTCCTACCAGGCCCCTCAACGGCGACCAACCGAGGTCCATAGCAAGGTCAAGGAACGAAAACCTTAAAGGGCGGGGAAAGCAGGCACAGCTGGCGGGCAGCAAAGGGGGAGATCCCCGGCCGCGTCCTGGTTTAAATAGAGAAGGCCATGCCCCCTGAGCCAGCCGATTGTCTAGCCGGGGGTGACGCGGCTGGGAATCCCCCCAATTGCGTGGGGGCTGTACTCCAGCCCCCACGCATGTGGAGGGGCCGTGAAACCCACAACCCCACCTCCTCCGTAGGGCAGAAGTGGCTTAAACACTGACAACTGGGAGACACTGGCCTGCGAGCGCTCCAGTTGGAGAACAGCCTTTACCAAAGGTGTCATAGGCTTTGAAGACACTCGAACTCAGGACGCAAGGGAGAAATGTGCTAAGAGGAAGGCACGCTTGGCCATTCCACACCGTGATCAGCTCCTGTCCGGAAACCAGTGTCCCCACTGTGGAAGGATGTGTGGATCCAGAATTGACCTCCACAGTCACTTACGGACTCATTGTTAAAACCGTGTTTGTGGAAGACAATCTTAATCGGCTACGAGGGATCGCCAAGGAGGAAGAAGAAGAAGAGCTGGAAAGTAGAGAGAGAGAGAGGAGAGAGAGAGAAAGGCCTTAAGAGGCAACTCCTTTTAAAATTCTGAATTACCGTATTTTTCTGTCTATAAGACACACCCATGTATAAGAGCGGCCCTTATTTTTGGGTACTCAGGTTTAAGAAAATCTTAAATACACTATCCATGTATAAGACGGCCCCTAATTTTTGACATTTATTTTTTTGGGGGGTGGGAACTAGACTTATACACAGAAAAATATGGTAATTTGTTCTCGACTGCTCTTCATCAGGGCTGGTGCAGGAAAGTCTCTGCCCTCAAGGAGCTTACAGCATAGAACTGGGCAGCTAAGAAAAGATGAGGCTAGATGGCTTGAAATGGATAGCCTAAGAGTCCTACTTTTCGGATGAAGTCTTAACAGTTTGGCATCAGTAAGAAACTTCGTCCGATCCTGTGAATTTCAGCCTGCGCTGTAATAAATCCTAGATAATTCTGTGCTTCTCGCTCTGCTGGTATCGAACCCAGTGAACTGAATATTTAGCTGATGCCTTCCCTTCGTTTCATTATAGGTTTGTCCGGAAAGTGAAATCCCCATGTAGGAAATGTGATTTGATTTTTATAGTCATCGCTGCTGGTTTTATTGCGGGTTTTACACAATTCTGTTACTTTGATTTGTTGATTTCCACTTCGACTTTTTAAAAATAATTATCTTATGGTCTGCAAACCTCTCAGAGAGGCGCAGGCTATCAAGCAGCCTGTAATTGCTGTAATAATCACTGCTTCATAAAAGCTAACCAATTATTAAGCGCTTGGAGAGGGAAGCAAAAAGAGTTTAAATGCTAGATGTGCCCATTATTACTCTGTGCTAGGAGCTGTACAGAAACAGCGCTCCATAAATACGATAAATGTGCTGATTTGTTATTATGGAGCTGGGAGCTGCAAGTAACGAGAGCTTCATAAATACTATAAATGCTAATTATTTAGCACAAGGCCTGTATGTAATAAGAGCTTCGTCCATGTCACAGTTGCCAATTATTTAGTACTGGGAGCTGCGGAGAATAAGAGCTTGTTTGTTTTCTCTGCCGATGGCCTGTGCATTGTAGTCTTTACAAAAAAAGATGAGCGATAACTTGGGAGAGGAATTATACTCTGAAAAACTGATGGCTGTATTATTATTATTATTGTTGTTGTTGTTATTTATTACATACCCTCCAACATTTCTCCAATGAAAATAGGAACATCGTATTCTCAGACAACAACAACAACAATTTTATTATTAATTCTATTATTTATACCCTGCCCCCAAAAAGCTGGACAAACTCATCTTCGTAGCTTCGAGAACACTGTCCCACCATCTCGTCCTCCGCCGTCCCCTTCTCCTTGTGCCCTCCATCTTTCCCAACATCAGGGTCTTTTCCAGGGAGTCTTCTCTTCTCCTGAGGTGGCCAAAGTATTGGAGCCTCAGCTTCAGGATCTGTCCTTCCAGTGAGCACTCAGGGCTGGTTTCCTTCAGAATGGAGAGGTTTGATCTTCTTGCAATCCATGGGACTCTCAAGAGTCTCCTCCAGCACCAGAATTCAAAAGCATCAATTCTTTGGCGATCAGCCTTCTTTATGGTCCAGCTCTCACTTCCATACATCATTACTGGGAAAACCATAGCATAGCGTAATAGCAATAGGGAATGCCAATTTACACCTGTTGCTTATGTGTTGGAGGTGCTGATTTGCAATTGCCTTGCTTGTTTAAGGAAATAACTATTTATATACATACAATGTATATAAGAAAAGTTGAGGGAACTTAAAAGAGAGAGACGCTACGAGCCTTAATTGATCCTTGCCTTATTCCAGCCTGCCCCACACAATCTGACCTCTAGGGCTCTAGGATGATGTCCCCATTTCCCCAAAAAATTTTTTGGGGGGGTGGAGCTTGTTTCCATCCGATCTGTGGAAGGGGATTTCCACTGCAACCCGATCCAGGACGCCAGCTGTCCTACGCCGATTCGTGGCCACACATTCAGAAATAGACTAATTGTACACACTGTTAATTCACTAAACAAATCGGGGGGGGGGGAAACCTTAGATATTTATAGCGTTTGGTTCTGTGAGCGTTGAGGCTCTTTTTACAGACTTTGCACCTGCCTTTCTTTCCAGGTAGGCAGGAAAATTTTAGGGGGCTCGATTGCAGCCGCAGCTGCCCCCCAAAATCTGTGGGTTCATCCTCCCTGCCCCCAAAAAGCTGTTTCAGTTTTTCAGCTCTGTCCCAGCAAGTGTGTTGGGTGCATCTGAGCATGCACAGAGTTCATTTACCTTCCCACAGCTTGACTGCAGTTGGAGAGGAATGGGCCGATATATCAATGTCTGAACTTATTGTATCCAATCGTAGCCACCTAATTTCTGACGTTTGGGCTGTTCCTCCTATTAGCTAAGTTTTAATTTATATATATTTATATATATTTTTAACTGTATTGTATTGTTAACTGTATTGTCCCTGTTATACCTAATTGCAAATTCAAATGTATCCCTATCGTGTTTTATGACTTCCTTGATATTGTATGTGGGCTAGAACTGGTCTCTGACCGAAATAATAAAATTCATTCATTCATTCCACCTATTAGCAATCATACATCACTCTGGAAAAGTTGTGGTTTTTTTAATCCTCGTGAAAATATATCCGCAAATCTCTCCTAATACGCACATGTCTGCATGAATTTTTGCCTGACATACACGCCTTTTGTTTTGTTTTTTTGCTGGGAATCCAGTTTTATTGAAATTTCCCATGATAAAATAAAAAGAACGGATGAATCTACAAAGTCTGATAACAAGAGAGAAATTAGAAGAAAAAGAAGGAGCTAGGAAACTCTCTCGCTGCTATATCTCAACCCCCCCCCCATTTTTGATTAAAAATTTCTTGGTTTACAAAAGTATGTGCAATGTTTTTTTAAAAAATGTGCAAATGTGCAAAAAAAATGTGTTTTGTGTTTTAAAAAATGCACTAAAACTTTAGAAAAAGAAGTATCTCCACTAAATTTGGTGCGGGGACCATTTGGGCTGAAGACCCGTCTACCCTGCAGTTGTTTTTAAAAATGCAAATAGCAGTCATTCCTCCAAAATAGGGAAATAAAAGATTTTTTTAAAAAACAACAACACAGATTTTAAAGCTACCAAAAAAAATCTGTTGAATTTGGTGTGGGAACTATTGGTGAAATTTGGGGTGGGAGGTTGCAATGGTTTTTGTTTTTAAGTATAGATAACTCATTCCTCCAAAATAAATGGGGAGGGTTTTTTTAAAAAAAGAAAACAGATTTTGGAACCCTTTCCTTTCTCCTCCTGTGATGGAACTTCTATTTGGGGACTTCCCTGGCTTTTTTCTGGCCAATCTGGATAGTTAGCCTTGGTGAAGCCTTGACGTTTTCATCCCCCAAAAAGTTTTGAGTTTCCAGTGAAATGAGGCTGTATTTTAATGTTTTAATGTTGTATTTTAATCTTGTTTTTAAGTTGTATTTCAATCAATTGGTTTTTATATCAGGTGTTAGCCTGATTCCGGTCTTGGCTGGGGAGGGCAGGATATACAGTGGTGCCTCGCAAGACGAAATTAATTCGTTCCGCGGGTTTTGTCGTCTTGCGATTTTTTTCGTCTTGCGAAGCACGGTGTCGGGAAAGTTTTGGAAAAGCTTCAAAAATCACCAAAGTCTTTAAAAACCTCAAAAAAGGCTACCACACCGCGTGCTATGAGTTGCTCCTCGAAGTCAAGTCGCAACTGTATTAACGGTGTTAAGAAAAAGGAAACAAACTTGCAGGACGTTTCCGTCTTGCGAAGCAAGCCCATAGGGAAAATCGTCTTGCGAAGCAGCTCAAAAACGGAAAACCCCTTCGTCTTGGGAGTTTTCCGTCTTGCGAGGCATTCGTCTTGCGAGGTACCACTGTAAATAAAATTTATTATTATTATTATTATTATTATTAACCCTCCTCTTTCCTGCTGTCTTCCAGGGCCTGCCAAAGGGAAGCATGTTTCGCTCCTAGGACCCGCCTCCCTCGCTTCTCCTCTCCTCCCGGGAAAGTCCTGAGAATGATCCTTCCCTTCCTTCAGCCTGCCCTTTTATTCTTCCTGGCGTCTGCGACTTCCTTCCCTAAGGATTTGACTCCGCTCAGCACCGTCGGCAGGGCAGGTAAGTCTGCAGCCCGCTTTCAAACTATTTGCACAGTGAAACCAGAGCAGGCAGGTATTCAACAGGTGTTGCTCCCCCATCCTCCCTTGAGCAGAGGGAATGGAGGGTGAGAAAACAATTGGTTCTGTTTGAAGGTGCGTCTTCTAAGGAAGGAAGCACTCTTTCTAACAGGTGGACAGGTATTCAACAGGTGTTGCTTTCCCCATCCTCCCTTGACCGGAAGGAATGGAGGGTGGGAAAACAAATCAGCTCTCTTTGAAGTTGCGTCTCCTAAGGAAGGAAGAAGGAAGCACTCTTTCTAACAGGCAGACAGCTATTCAACAGGTGTTGCTTCCCCCACCCTCCCGTGACTGGAGGGAATGGAGGATGGGAAAACAATTGGCTCTGTTTGAAGGTGCGTCTCCTAAGGAAGGTAGCAGTCTTTCTAACAGGCAGGCAGGTGTTCAACAGGTGTTTCTTCCCCCTTCCTCCCTTGACTAGAGGGATTGGAAAACAATTGGCTCTGTTTGAAGGTGTGTCTCCTAAGGAAGAAAGAAGGAAGCAGTCTTTCTAACAGGCAGGCAGGTATTCAACAGGTGTTGCTTCCCCCATCCTCCCTCGACTGGAGAGAATGGAGGGCAGGGGGGAGAACTGGCCCTGAAGAAGCTTTTCCTGTAGAAGGAGGCCTTTTCTTTTCTAATAGGGCATTCTTTTTCTCCTCTTCCCCACCCACCAGGAACATCCCAGTATCCTGTTTTCCGTGGCCTCGCAGGAGACAATGACACTGCCCAGCTAGGCCTGGATTTCCAGAGCATGCTGAGACTCAACCAAACCCTTTTCATTGCCGCGCGGTAAGTGACGGAGCAGCGGAGGTGGTATTGGCAGCCATTGTGTTTGCGTTTCCTTTTTTTATTTTATTTTATTCATTTTTCATTCATTACATACATCTCAAATTTACTATATATTCCTCCTCCCCCTCCAAGACTTGTATTTCTGGTTTGTTTCTATTCTCACCCGCTTTGCTATCTCTCAACAGAAAAAATTATTAATCACATAACATCAAACCTTAAAAACATAAAAATAAAATTAAATACACCATCATTTTCACTATCTTCCAAACATTTTCTGATGCTGATAATGTGGATGTTTATTTAAATCCTGCCATCAAGTCTATTGCCTTATATTCTGCAAATATAGTGTGAATGGTTCCCAATCTTTCTCAAAAGCTCTGTTGTCTTTCTCTCTTAGTCTTTCTGTCATTTTTGCCAGTTCTGCATCTCTTGCCATTGTTCTTTAGTTGGTATTTCTCCAGTCTTCCAATTTCGTGCAATCAACATTCTTGCTGCTGTAGTGACATACACAAATAAAATCCCCATTTCTTTTGGTATGTCTTGACCTAAATTACCTAATAAAGAGGCTTCTGGTTTTTTTTTTACAAAAGTTATTTTTAACATTTTCTTCAATTCATTGTATATCATTTCCCAGTAGGATTTTACCTTCTTACAATCCCACCACATATGATAGAACGGAGCTTCTGTTTCACATCTCTAACACTCTTTTTTTCCTTCTGTTTGCATTTCCAACGTTTGGGGTCCTGGGATCTGGTCTGAGCTAGGATCTTGCCCTTTGATGCTGAGAACCAGCCATGGACCAGCAGAAGCAGTAATAAAGTCAGGATACAGAGATTCCAAGATTGAGGACCTACCGGATCCCAGACTGCTCCAATGCAAAGTGGCTCTCACCTTTTACCTTCCTCAGCAGTGCTTGAGTTGTACAAGTGAGGAAATTATTTATCTATTTCTCTTTTCTCTCCCTACCACCCTGCCGGCCATCAGAGACCACGTCTATGCCTTTGATCTCCGACGGACCAAAGACGACTTCTCTCCAAAAAGGGTGAGTTGTTGTTTTTTAACCCAATGGCTTAAGACCTGGTTGTGCTACCTGTTGTTGTTTAGTCGTTTAGTCGTGTCCGCCTCTTCGTGACCCCCTGGACCAGAGCACGCCAGGCACCTCTGTCTTCCACTGCCTCCCGCAGTTTGGTCAAACTCATGCTGGTAGCTTCGAGAACACTGTCCAGCCATCTCGTCCTCTGTCCTCCCCTTCTCCTTGTGCCCTCCATCTTTCCCAACATCAGGGTCTTTTCCAGGGAGTCTTCTCTTCTCATGAGGTGGCCAAAGTCTTGGAGCCTCAGTTTCAGGATCTGTCCTTCCAGTGAGCACTCAGGGCTGATTTCCTTCAGAATGGAGAGGTTTGATCTTCTTGCAGTCCATGGGACTCTCAAGAGTCTCCCCCAGCACCAGAATTCAAAAGCATCAATTCTTCGGCCATCAGCCTTCTTTATAGTCCAGCTACCTAGAACCTAGTTGTGCTACCTAGAACCTGCCATTGTTGCTATGAGGAACCTAGACCACATTCTCAGTGGGATCTTTTGTGTGTTGCCTCGTACCGCTCTTTCACTGAGAAGAGCATACTACCTAGAAAGAATTCTGCGAAATGTCTGCAACGTTGAAAACCAGTCCCTTGCCTTGCTTGTTCTAGATCATGTATCACCTAGAACACGATTTCACCACCCTCTAACCATTGCCCTGTTCTGATTTCTCTTTCCTCCACCTCACCCTCAGCACCTCACATGGAAGACGCAAGACATGGAAAATTGTGCGATGAGAGGAAAGCTCCGGGTAAGAACCGCAAGGGTCTCTGTTCTAGGATCTGTATTCGTTTCTGCGTCCTGATTATCCTTGGGACTGACAGTGGCATTTGCCTGTGTGAGGTGGGAAAGCTCAGTGGGTAGAGCATGAGATGCTTCATCTCTGGGTCGTGGGTTCGAGCCCCACATGGTGTGAAAGAAATCTGCACTGAAGTAATAATAATAATAATAATTTATTATTTATACCCCGGCCATCTGGCTGAGTTTCCCCAGCGACTCTGGGCAGCTCCCAATCAAGTATTAAAAACAGTACAGCGTTAAATATTAAAAACTTCCCTAAACAGGGCTGCCTTAAGATGTCTTCTGAATGTCAGATAGTTGTTTATCTCTTTGCCATCTGGTGGGAGGGCGTTCCACAGGGCGGGCACCACCACCGAGAAGGCCCTCTGCCTGGTTCCCTGTAGCTTAGCTTCTCGCAGGGAGGGAACCGCCAGAAGGCCCTCGGAGCTGGACCTCAGTGTCCGGGCTGAACGATGGGGGTGGAGACGCTCCTTCAGGTATACAGGACCGAGGCCGTTTAGGGCTTTAAAGGACAGCACAACACTTTGAACTGTGCTCGGAAACATACTGGGAGCCAATGCAGATCTCTCAGAACCGGTGTTATGTGGTCCCAGCGGCCGCTCCCAGTCACCAGTCTAGCTGTCACATTCTGGATTAATTGCAGTTTCCAGGTCACCTTCAAAGGTAGCCCCACGTAGAGCGCATTGCAGTAGTCCAAGCGAGAGATAACCAGAGCATGCACCACTCTGACGAGGCAGTCTGCGGGCAGGGAGGGTCTCATCCTGCGTACCAGGTGGAGCTGGTAAACAGCTGCCCTGGACACAGAATTGACCTGCGCCTCCATGGACAGCTGTGAGTCGAGAATGACTCCCAGGCTGCTCACCTGGTCCTTCAGGGGCACAGTTACCCCTTTCAGGACCAGGGAGTCTCCCACATCCGCCCGCCCCCTGTCTCCCAAAAACAGTACTTCTGTCTTGTCAGGAGTCAACCTCAATCTGTTAGCCGCCATCCATCCTCCAACCGCCTCCAGACACTCCAGGCACTGAAGGGGGTTGCAACTCTATTATTCTATTATTTTATTTACATATTTATTAAATATACCTGCAGGTCGCAGGGCAGTTACAACATAAAATCACAACATGAAAATAAAAAATTATTCTAAGTGTTCCCCCAACTCTGGGGTAAGTCCTTGACCTTTCTCGCTCTGCCCCGATTCCAGAATGAATGTTACAACTACATCAAAGTCTTGGTTCAGAAGAACGAAGAAACCCTCTTGGCCTGTGGGACAAATGCCTTCAACCCCATGTGCCGGACCTACAAGGTATGGAGCTGGTTTGGGACCAGTTGATGGATTGGTCGGGAACCGTAACCCCACGGGGGCCAAATGCGGCCACCTGTCTCTGCTCTGCAGAACTCTCCTTAGCCAGGCCTCTAGCCACGCCCCCTCTCCCCAAGCCACGCCCCTCCACTGACCTCGAGCCACACCCTCCCAGAGTGTTTTTGACCAGCGGGATAATATCTGATAATGCCTCTTGCTTTTCTGAATGGAGAAGGGGATGTGAGAGGGTGACAAGAGTAGCCTCTGTTTTGTTTTGTTTTGTTTTGTTTTGTTTTGTTTTGTTTTATTGTTTTGCTTTTAAATTTAATTTAATTTAATTATTTTTGTTTTGTTTTTTAATGTAATGTTATATAATTGTTTTATTGTTTTGTTTTTAAATTTAATTTAATTTAATTATTTTTGTTTTGTTTTGTTGTATTATCTTATTTTATTTTAATTATTTTATTTTATTTCACTGTCATGGGCTTATTTAACCGCCTTCTTAACAAACCACCTCAAGGCAACTGACGCATAAGATTACTAAAAGCGGCAACAACAAATAGGTTTAAGACAAGATGGAAACCCTACCTGCCATACAACAGGGAGATTTGCCTTTCCGAAATTTACACCAGTGAAATTTGCAAATGCATTTGCATGTGCGAAATTTGCATGTGTTTTGTCCCGCCCCCTTTGGCCCCGCCTACCTCTGGCATGCGGCCCTCAGCGGTCATTGCGGCCCTTGCGCTAAGGAAGAGTCCTCACCCACAAAGGGAGACACCTTCCTGTCGCAAATTGGGTGGAATCGTGCTGGGACGTTGTGGCACTGCGCAACCGAGCGTGTGGGGATCTTTCTTGGGTTTGTGGCTTAGGGTGTCAGCCTTTGACTAAATTCACCCCAATTTCCGTGGCCCCCAGATCAGCAACTTGGAGCAGGAAGGGGAGGAGCTGAACGGACAAGCGCGGTGTCCCTTTGACGCGAAGCAGAACAACGTGGCGCTTTTCGCAGGTACATCTTTGAAACTTGTGTGGTGCGTTTCAGGGTGTGTGTTTTTGTACCTGGACTATTAAAGGTAAAGGTAAAGGGACCCCTGACCATTAGGTCCAGTCGTGGCCGACTCTGGGGTTGCGGCGCTCATCTCGCTTTACTGGTCGAGGGAGCCGGCGTATGGCTTCTGGGTCATGTGGCCAGCAGGACTAAGCCGCTTCTGGCGAACCAGAGCAGCGCACGGAAACACCGTTTACCTTCCCGCTGGAGCGGTACCTATTTATCTACTTGCACTTTGACGTGCTTTCAAACTGCTAGGTTGGCAGGAGCTGGGACCGAGCAACGGGAGCTCACCCCGTGGCAGGGATTCGAACCGTCGACCTTCTGATCGGCAAGTCCTAGGCTCTGTGGTTTAACCCACAGCACCACCAGCGTCCCACCTGGACTACAGGTCTCCAGCTTCGAGCCAGTGTGGTGTCGTGGTTAGAGTGTACAGTGGGCACTCGGGTTGCAGACGTGATCCATGCAGGATGCACGTTCACAACCCGCAGCGTTCGCAACCTGCGCCTGTGCATTCTTGGGTTGCGATTCGGTGCTTCTGTGCATGCGCAAAGCACGATTTAGTGCTTATGCACATGCGCGACGGCCGAAACCCGGAAGTAACCCGTTCCAGTACTTCTGGGTTTCGGCGGTCTGTAACCTGAAAAAACGCAACCTGAAGGGTCTGTAACCCGAGGTATGACTGTATATGAGAAGGACACAGGAGAGACCAGGTTTCAAATCATGAAGCTCAATGTGGTGACCTATACCACAGGGTTGTTGTGAGGGTGAAGAGGACAGAGAGATAACCATGTGCGCCACTTTGAGCTCCTTGGAGAAAAAGGTGGGATGGAATATTTAAGAGTTCATCCTTGGGATCCTAGCCTTGCCTGAAAGATGCTGAGGGAGTTATGGTTTCACCCCTAAATCAGGCAGGGAACCTCCAGCCCACCGGCTAAATTTGACCCACCGGACTTCCACATCTGGCTAGTGAGGGGCCCTGGGAAGCATTGTGCAAAGATCTCTGCAAATTTCTACGGAAGGAAAAAGATGTATAAGAAATATGTAACTGTGCGGTATAAAGTAATGGATGGATAAAGTACAGTGAGATTAAGTGGAAGTCATTTTTAGTTTTCTTCTCTATAAGTTTTATAATTGCTTTCAGTACCAGGAGTATATACGATGACAGTTATATTAATCTTGTTGTATCTTATAGTGTGGTGGTTTGTTTGCTTCTTCTCTTATTTTGTTTGTTGTTTGTTTGTTTACTTGTTTGTCCGTCTGTTTTTTCATAAATCTATTTATTTTAAGTCAATAAAGATACATTTTTTTTTAAAAGGAAAAAGATGCTCCATTTGAATAGAAGCTGCTTTTTCTGCGAAGGGGAAAACACTCCATTTTTAGCGACCTCTTTTTGCGCTTTGACAGGTGTCAATCACCTGGCATCATTTCTGACAGGCAGGTGGCAGGACAGGGGTCGTGGTCCCACCTACCTGTCAAAGTTGGTCCGTGGTGGGGTGTAGGGTAAAATATCTGGCCCGGCGGGCCATAAAGATTCCCTAAAAGCAAGATTCTAGTCCTCACGGCTTGGAATAAAAGTCTCCTCCCCACCCTGAAAAAGAACATTACATTGACATGATGTTCAAGCAGCTCAAGGTAGCGAATGGTAATGGCGCATAACAATGAAAGCTCTCTCTATGCTGCAACACTCGGTTGCAGCTCCCGCTTGGTCCCATGCTTGTGATGTTGCGTGCCTTTGAACGTCTTTGCTGAAGTTCCCACTTCTGTTTTGATATTACGAAGAAGTTAATAACAGGAGTTAATAACTCAAGGTTTTGGCACAGTTGAATAATGCAGCCTCATGGGAAATTTGGGGGTGTGTGCCCCTCCCTCTTTTTCCTCTCCTTCGCAGAAGGAAATCTCTATTCCGCCACGGTGGCAGACTTCCAAGCCAGCGACACCGTCATCTACCGAAGTCTGGGCGAGAGGAGTCCGGTGCTGAGGACCGTCAAATACGACTCCAAATGGCTGAGAGGTGAGGGGGTGTGTGCAGCGAGAACTGTTGATGGCAGAGTGTGACCAACAGATACGATTAGTGAGTCCTCTTTTTTCGTTCCGGAGACGGCGAAAGGGGGAGCGAGTTCAGGTGACGGGGAAGAGCTCGATTCGGTTCGCCAACGGAAGGGGAACCGACCCAAGTTCCGCTTTCCGAAGCAGTCTGCCAACCGGAAGGCCAAAAATCCCAAATTTTGCAGTGCGGTTCTCTGGCGGAAATGCGTCTGCGAGGGAAACATGCGCCGCTAAGTGCATATGCGGGGAGATGGCGCGGTGGAGGGGGAAATGAACGAAGTCTCCTGCGGGAAGAACGGGGGTAACGGCTCGGTTTCTGCTCCCTTTTCCTTGATAAACGAAATGGTGTCTGGCGGAACGGCCCGGTGCTACTGAGAAACCACCAGGCGCCCACGTTTTTAAAAACAACTTTTCCCCCTCCAGAACCACATTTCCTGCATGCGCTCGAGTACGGCAATTATGTCTATTTCTTCTTCCGGGAGATCTCCATGGAATACACCACTTTGGGACGGGTGAGTATTCAAGATGGCGGACAGCGCGCATGAGTTTTCTGGGGTATCCAAGATGGCGGACAGCGCGCATGAGTTTTCTGGGGTATCCAAGATGGCGGAAGCGCGCATGAGTTTTCTGGGGTATCCAAGATGGCGGACTGCACGCATGAGTTTTCTGGGGTATCCAAGATGGCGGACAGGGCGCATGAGTTTTCTGGGGTATCCAAAATGGCGGACAGCGCGCATGAGTTTTCTGGGGTATCCAAGATGGCGGACAGTGCGCATGAGTTTTCTGGGGTATCCAAGATGGCGGACAGTGCGCATGAGTTTTCTGGGATATCCAAGATGGCAGACAGCATGCATGAGTTTTCTGGGGTATCCAAGATGGCGGAAAGTGCGCATGAGTTTTCTGGGGGTTTGAGTGTGTGCATTCAACAGGGCCACATGCGCGGGCCCCGCCCTCAACTGGCTTTTAACCGCCGTGGCTTCTTCTCTCTGGGGGAATTGCGTAGCTTTGCTGTAAGACTATTGTGATGTCAGACCTGGGAGAGAAACCCGGGTTCATATCCCCATTCAAACATGACACTCCCTGGGTGACTTTGGGGCAGGGCGACCTAGCAGGGATGTTTTGGGGATAAAGCAGGGAGACAGAAAACTATCGCCTTGAATTCTTGGGGGGGGGAAGGGTGGGATATAAAAGCAGCAAAAAAAATAAATATTAAATATTTTAAAAATTCCCCCTTGGGGTCTCTTCCAACTCTGTAATTATGCAAAATAAGGTGGCTTCCTCTCTTATTCTGACTGTGAGGTCTGGAACCTTACTGCATTTTTAGGAGATTTGGTTGGGAGAAATAGTCTGTTCCTGTAACTGGGAGCATTGGTGTGTTACTGTATTTTTCGCTCCATAAGACACACCTGACCGTTTTAGAGGAGGAAAACAAGAAAAAAAATATTCTGAACGAAACAGTGGATGTATGATTTTTGTGGTTCATGCTGTGGCCACAGACATGTGATCTGATGGTGAATTTGGGGTGACCCAATGCAAAAATCCTAAGGATCCATGTGGATCCGAGCTTTGTAACCACATTTTTGCACCATTGCAGCCCCAGGAAACAGTGGATGCATGATATTTTTCGGTGCAAGCTGTAGCCAGGGACATGCTATGTGATCTGATGGTGAATTTGGGGTGGCCCAATGTAAAAATCCTGAGGATCCATGGGCTTTTACCTCCCCCCTCCCAGGCAGCCCTTATCTCTCTCCCGATCCCATCGATCAGCTGCTTCCTTTCAACACTCCCTTCCCTCTTGTTCGCCTTAGTGTCTTCTCCTTAGCTGGAGCAGTTTTTTGCTCCTCCTTTTCTTCTAACTTCTCTCCTTATTGCTTTAGTCTTCCTGTTTTCCCCCTTTGCAAGTTTGCTGTCTTTACCTCCCCCCTCCCAGGCAGCCTCCTTTATCTCTAGTGTCCCTTATCTCTCTCCCCGATCGGCAAACGATCAGCGGCTTGGTTTCAACACCTACTTCCCTCTTTCAAAAAAAAAAAAAAAAAAGCATGATCTGCTTTTTGCCCCTGGGCAATTTGGCTTCAGGGACCACGCATTCGCTCCATAAGATGCACAGACATTTCCCCTTACTTTTTAGGAAGAAAAAAGTGTCTTATACAGTAGCTTATTAAATGTAAAAGGTAAAGGGACCCCTGACCATTAGGTCCAGTCGTGACCGACTCTGGGGTTGCGGCACTCATCTCACTTTATTGGCCGAGGGAGCCAGTGTACAGCTTCTGGGTCATGTGGCCAGCAGGACTAAGCCGCTTCTGGCGAACCAGAGCAGTGCACAGAAATACCGTTTACCTTCCTGCCGGAGCGGTACCTATTTATCTACTTGCACTTTGATGTGCTTTCAAACTGCTAGGTTGGCAGGAGCAGGGACCGAGCAACGGGAGCTCACCCCGTCGCGGGGATTCGAACCACCGACCTTCTGGTTGGCAAGTCCTAGACTCTCTGGTTTAACCCACAGCGCCACCCGCGCCCCCTTATTAAATGTATAGACTATTAAATTTGGGGGGAGGGCGTTCTTTATTACAAGGTGGATCATGACAGCATAAAAACAAAGCAAATTTATGATGACGCTGTTTGATTGTGATATGATAGCACACGGGACGAATGAAGCCTAATGAGCAGCAATAGCTACTTGATAACATTATTAAATATCCAAAGGTTCATGGTTTAGCTATTCCAGCAGAGACGCATTTTATCCCTCTGGGAAAACAACCCGCCCTGATCTCTCTCCCCTCCGTCTCCGATTCCAGGTTATCTTCTCCCGGGTGGGGCGGGTGTGCAAGAACGACATGGGGGGCTCTCCCCGAGTGCTGGAAAAATACTGGACCTCCTTCCTCAAAGCTCGCCTCAACTGCTCCGTCCCTGGAGATTCCTTTTTCTACTTCGACGTCCTTCAGGCTGTGACGGACGTGACGCAGGTGAACGGCCGGCCGGCCATCTTCGGGGTCTTTGCCACCCAGTCCAACAGGTAACCGCTGCTGCAAAGCCTCGCCTTCCCCCAAACTTTGCAGAACCTGAGCTGCTAGCTGGTCTAGGTCCTTAAAATGGGCTTTGCCCAACCTGAGCGCTTGGCTCGAAGGGATCTTCTCTCTTTTGGCAAGAAGGAATTAAAGGGCCTTGCGCTGAGCTCAGGCGGTTAAAACAAGCCTTGCGGAACCTGAGCTGTTATTTTGCATGGGTCTTGCCTCTTTTCTGGCAGCCTTAAAATAAGCTTTGCAGAACCTGAGCTGATCGTTGTTTTTACAAGGCTTCCTTGCTATTAGCCACCGTTTGGTGGAAAGGAAGAATACGAATGGGACAGGTGATCAGTACGTTTTGCTGAGCCACTAGCTTGTGCAAATTTCATCTTTCTTTTTTTATATATACATTTTTATTTTAAAAAATTAACATATTAATTCCAACATTCATACAGCTTAACTTCTCATCTTATGCAATATTTTGGACTTCCATCAACGCCTCTGACGATTTTCCGTTCTTTGTCACTTATTATGCATTTCTTAATTTCATATTACCTTTAATTATCCTTAACTAATAATTCATCTCATTGTCTTTTTTGCAATATTTCAAATAATTCACCTTATCAAACTTCTTGCAAACCTACTAGCGTAATCTGTTCATCACAATTACCGTATTTTTCACTCCATAAGATGCACCAGACCACAAGACACACCTAGTTTTTGGAGGAGGAAAACAAGAAAAAAAATATTCTGAATCCCAGAAGCCAGAACAGCAAGAGGGATCGCTGCACAGCCTGTATTCGCTCCATAAGACGCACACACATTTCCCCTTACTTTTTAGGAGGGAAAAAGTGAGTCTTATAGAGCAAAAAAATACGGTACTTTTCAAATAGTCTGTAAATTTACTCCAGTCTATGAGAATCTCTGGTCCCGCAGGCTTCAAATCCTTCCTGTTAGCTTATCTAATTCTGCATAGTCCATCAGTTTCATCCTCCATTCTTCTTTCGTCGGCAGCGAATCTCGTCTTTCTGGCAAGACCTGAGCTGCAGTTTGCACCCTAGCAGCTGTAACACGCGACAAGATTGAGGCTGCTTTGCTTCGGAGAGATATAGGGGGCTGCCTTAGAGGGAGACGGACCTTTGGTTCATCTAGCACAATTGCGCTGGTCCCGGGGGAAGGTTACTGTTATCGTAGTCAAAGTTCAGTCCTGAGTCACTAGCCTGGAAAATAGTTCACAAGGTGCAAGGCGAGGTCCGAAGCAGGAAGCCGGGGCGGGGACAGGGACACTCGAAGATCAGAAGCAGGAAGCCGGGCGGGGAACAGGAACACTGGAAGATCAGGTCTGGGTCCGGGTAAGCACAGGTACTCAACAACAACGTTGCTCCTGCAACCTGGGACCGGGCTGACTGGCCTTTATCTTCTCTAAGGCCAGGGGCGGTCCCGGCCCCTAGGAGACCCGCCTCTCCTGGCCTTAAGGCGAGCACTCCTCCTGGGAGACACCAGTTCCCTTCGCCTCTCTGCCCTAAGCCTCTGCAGTTCAGGAGAGGCTGAAGGGTTACTGGGCCCAGGGGGAGGCTCACCTGTAGGCACTGAGTCCTCAACCACCTCTGGAGCCAGAATGGATTCACCTGGTGCCTGCTCCACAGGATCCGGCACAGGTGCAGGCTCCTCAGAATCAAGGCCTTGCCCCAGTTCAGCCGGCCCTGGAGGCGGGGACTCTCTGAATCGGAATCCCAGGCCATCACAACAATATTGTCCACACTGACTGGCAGCAGCTGTCCAGGGGATGTTCCCAGGTCATTCCTGGAAATTAAATTTGTGACTGTCTGCTTGGCTGCTCTGCCACCGAGAGCCACCGAGAGCTCTTCCTCCTAAAGACGGCAGGTGGTCTATGCATTCAACGACAGCAGCTAGGATCCTTTATGCACAAAAATGGAAGGAAGGAGAAATTTCCACCGAAGAAGAATGGATAATTAGAGAGATGAGCTATGCAGAATTGGCAAAGTTAGCCAAAATAAGAGAACCTAATGAAGATTCATTGTGGAAGACCGGAAGCTTTTTCCTTTTTTTAATATTTAAAGAAACATTATAGCATGATGAATTCACAAGCAGGATTCGAACTCTGAGCTACAGAAGGCGTTAGAGATGATGATGATGATGATGATGATGATGATAATAATAATAATAATAATAATAATAATAATAATAATAATAATAATTATTTATACCCCACCCATCTGGCTGGGTTTCCCCAGCCACTCTGGGCGGCTTCCAACTGAATACTAAAAACAATACAGCATCAGACATTAAAAACTTCCCTAAAACGTTATTGTTATTGTATTGTGGTTATGATAGAGAGAAGACAGGGTGAAGCAAGGGGGAGGAATTAAAAAAAAACCAAACACCATGGAAAACTGGGTGGGAAGTCGACAAAACAAAACAAATCATTATTGTGTGCATATGTGAAATTTTTGAAATGTAGTAAAATATAAGGGGGGGAAGATGTCGCAAGTTGCTAGTCCTCACCGATTGCCATGTTCTTGCTCTCTCCTATGCATCCAGCATCACGGGCTCAGCTGTCTGCGCCTTCTACATGGATGAAATAGAGAGGGTCTTCAACGGCAAGTTCAAGGAGCAGAGGAACGTGGATGCGGCTTGGACCCCCATCCCAGAGGAGAAAGTACCACAGCCCAGGTAGGAAAGACCCCTGCCCACCCGCCCACCCCTGGAACTGACCAGGGGCATAGAAGCTCTTTTTCCTTGTCAAGGGTGGCATTCCCACAGGGGTTAATCTCTGTCAGGCCTCATGCCAGATGTGAGCAGGATTTAAGCATATGCAGCGCTGGTGTGATGGCCTGGGACTCGAGTTCGGACTCGGAACCAGAGGAGTCTCAGTCCGCACCGGATCCTTTGCCTCAGGCAGCAGCTGAACCGAGCCTGGGGCCTGATTCTGAAGAGCCCCAGTCTGCACAGGTTCCCCTGCAACAAGCACCAGCTGGGCCGAGTCAGGGGCCTGATCCTGCCCTGGCTCCAGATGCGGGGAATACCTTGTTGCCTCCAGCTGGGCCATCACTTACAGCTGCTCGACTAACGGTTGGTTCAGGGGAGGCTGAGGCGGCCCCTGGGTCTAGTCACCCACCAACGTCTCCCGGCTGCAGAGACTGAGGTCTGAGAGAAGGAGAGACCTGAGTACTTCGCCGGAGGAGCAGGGGCGCCGACTTATAAAAATATTGGGGGGGCCCATACCGGGGGTCCTGCCCCGGGAAGTTTTCTAAGCGAATGATCAACGGGAGGTTGTCTCGCCTCGGCTTTCCCCCTTCTGGCCAGCGGCGGCGGATTCTCCCTTCCCGAGAAAGGGGGCGGCGCTGGCGGGCCGGGAGGGGCGAGGGCCGGGCGGGCGGGCCATGGGCAGCTGCGCCAGCGTGAGCGAGGAGCGCCTCGGGGTTTCGCCGGCACTGCGAGTAGTAGGAGCGGGGGGCGCCGGGGCCGCGATGGCGGCGGAGCGCGAGAGGCGGCGGCGCGGCGAGGGCCGGGCGGCAGCATCCCGGGCGGAGGCCGCGGAGGAGCGAGGCGAGGGCAGGCAGCCCCAACCCCCGAGGGGACTCCCGCCCGGCCGGCCGCGGCGCGGCTCCCCGGGCAGCCTAGATCTCGCCGCCGCTTCGCCGCCTCCGCCCGCTTTCGCGGGGAAGCAGTGCGCGGAACTAATAATTTTCTTAAATTATTGGGGGGCAGAGCCCCCAAACGAATTTTTGAGGGGGCTCGGGCCCCCTCAGGCCCCATGGAGTCGGCGCCTATGAGGAGGAGTGCTCACCTTCGGGCGAGACAGGGAGGTGAGTCGCCGGGGGATCAGGACCAGCTGTTACCCCGACAGAGATAAAAGGCTGTCGGACCCCGCCCGAGGTTGTGGGACCAACATTGCTGCTTGCTGGAACCTGCCTGTGATCCTGTGCCTGACCTTGCCTGGTTCCTTGCCTCGGCCCTGTTGGACTGACTCCTCGCAGAACCCTTGGATTCGGGACTGGAGCTGGACCATGTTGCTCGGGGTGCAAAGATCCGTTCAGCCCCCCCCCCCTGGTTGCCCAGTCCCAGGCACGCAGGAGGGTGGAACCAGCTGCCCACCTCAGCGTCTCGCTGGCTCGGTCACCCCCGAACTCGCGGCGCAGAGCCGCCTGCAGCAGAAGAGGCTGTCGCGGCGCTCTGACCGACGGCTGGGCTCTTCCCTGAACTCAACTCTCGGGCCCCGGACTCTCGGCCTGGCGAGCCCGGAGCCCGGGTGCCCCGCACCCCTAGTGCCTATGGGTAAGACGGCCCTGGTGAGAGCCCAAGGAGGGTGGTCTCTGCCCCGTTCGCTCCTCTCTCCCTTTCTGCCTCTCCTCCTTTCTGAGAAACCCTGCTTTCATCTTTATTATTATTATTTTTTGTACTAACAAAAAGGTTTATTTATAAAGAAGTGGGTGGCGCTGTGGGTTAAACCACAGAGCCTAGGACTTGCCGATCAGAAGGTCGGCGGTTCGAATCCCCACAGCGGGGTGAGCTCCCGTTGCTCGGTCCCTGCTCCTGCCAACCTAGCAGTTCAAAAGCACGTCAAAGTGCAAGTAGATAAATAGGTACCACTCCGGCGGGAAGGTAAAGGGCGTTTCCGTGCGCTGCTCTGGTTTGCCAGAAGCGGCTTAGTCATGCTGGCCACATGACCCGGAAGCTGTACGCCAGCTCCCTCGGCCAATAAAGCGAGACGAACACTGCAACCTCAGAGTCAGTCACGACTGGACCTAATGGTCAGGGGTCCCTTTACCTTTACCTTACAATTCAACACCAATGTAGAAAAGTTATTCAAAATTATGCAAGCACAAATTAAGTAGCTGGCTTCATTCTTCACTCTTCAGACACCAACGGTAGAATTGGGAGTGATACCATTAAAGCACTGCATATTTTCTTCTATAGGTTTAAGGATTAAAATAATAAGCAAAACAGACTCAATAGCTATTTCTAGTCAGAAACACTCTGTAGAAGAGTAATATTGTCTCCTTTTAACATGATTCGACCCAGCTGTTCCCTTGATTTTGTCTTGGAGTGAATCTCCTCAGCTTCATCCAGAACCAAGTTCATATATTCATCCAATAATACAGCCTTCTGTCCTCATGTTCACCTGTTCGTACAGCCACCGTCACTTTCTGCACCTTCTGGCCTTGCCATGGCCAGCAGCTGGGCTGGGAACGACCCTGACAGGACGAGCTGACTTAGGCAGGACGGGGCAGCCAACCGCCCTGCTTTCATCTTTAAAAATAACAGATCAGGTTTCTAGTCCCTAACATCTAGCTCCTGGCCATGTCGTTCGGGGGAAAAGGAGGCTTGAAGGCCTGCCGAAATTTGAGAAGCGTAGAGCAGGGTGCAAATAAGGTTTTCTAGGGGCTGGGGGTCGAAATTAGCCGGCGCCCTTGTAGAAATCTTTGCCGTTAAACTGTGGAACTCGCTGCTACAGGAGGCAGGCAGTGATGGCAGCCAAATTGGACGGCTTTAAAAGAGGATTGGACAAATTCAGGGAGGAGGAGAAGGCTACCGGTATGGCTACTAGCCTCCATGGCTATGGTCTGACTCCACGGTCGAAGCAGCAATTGCTTCTAAATACCAGTGGCTGGAAACCGCAGAGCGGTCTTGTGTTCGAATCCTGCCTTGCAGGTTTCCTCCCAAAAAAGCATCTGCTTGGCCACTGTGAGAACAGGATGCTGGACTCGAAGGGGCCTGATCCACCAAGCTCTCCTGACGTCCTTAGCTGTTCAGAGTCGCAGCAGAAGAAGCAGTAGCAATTCTTTACATCATTTGGGCAGAGCATGCAGAGTTTCGGTCACCTAGGCAGCAAACTTTAATTTTAGGGTGGGGGCGGAGTAGTGCAGATTGTCATGCAATGCAGAGAGAGAGATTTCTCTCTGGTACACGTGGCCTTTTTTTCTTTTTTAATTGAATTTGAGGAGCAGATGGCACCTGTTTTTGAAACTGCATCCTCAGCCGTCGCTAACCTCCTCTCCCACTCTTTTAAATAATTGTAAGCAGCGCTGTTCACTTTCTGGTTTACAGAACTTCATTACTAGGAGAATATATATAGTGGAACCTCGGGTTGTGAACGTGATCCGTGTGGGAAGCACGTTCACAACCCGCAGCGCCGCATCTGCTCACACGCATGATGTGATTCAGAGCTTCTGCGCATGCACAAAGCGCAATTTAGTGCTTCTGCTCATGCACAAGCACCGAAACCCGGAAGTAACCCATTCCGGTACTTCTGGGTTCGGCACATCCATAACCCGAAAACTCGCAACCCGCAGCGTTCGCAACCCGAGGTATGACTGTATATATTCCCCCAAAGATCAGGGTTTTTTGTTAGTTTTTTTAAGCTGCATGGTACAAGTACAGTGGTACCTCAGGTTAAGAACTTAATTCGTTCCGGAGGTCCGTTCTTAACCTGAAACTGTTCTTAACCTGAAGCACCACTTTAGCTAATGGGGCCTCCTGCTGCTGCCGCGCCACCGGAGCCTGATTTCTGTTCTCATCCTGAAGCAAAGTTCTTAACCTGAGGTGGTATTTCTGGGTTAGCGGAGTCTGTAACCTGAAGCATCTGTAACCTGAAGTGTATGTAACCCGAGGTACCACTGTAAATAAATGTTCGGAAGGCAGAGAGCGTAAAGAAATCAGCCATGCCCAGAACTGAAAATGCACCATCAGTCTTGTCTCTCAAAATTTCAAATAGTTGTTGACACTCTCACACACATAAATGTCCACAGAGGCCTGCACACACATCACAATTTAAAATAAAACAGCAAGATTCTAGTCCTCATTGTCCAAACATGTAGGCAGGGTGTGTAGAAATCTGCCGTGTGCAGAAGCAGGAGTTGGGCTTGGAGGTTAGATATGTGTGTGGTTCTTCAATTTATCTGTTTTTTTCCTACAACACCCACCCCGTCTTGGCTCCTGATCTCCCAATGCACTTCCCTTCCAGACCAGGCTGCTGTGCTGGTATCGGAAAAGCGTCCAGCTTCAAAACCTCCAACAGCTTCCCGGACGAGATGCTTGGCTTCATCAAGTCCTTTCCTCTCCTTGATGAAGCTGTGCCCTCGGTCATGGAGCAGCCCTGGTTTACGAAGACCACCAGCAGGTAAATGTTTGCCAGTCATGGATACAGCCAGGTTTGGGAGCTCATGTGCAGTTCTGCTGAATTTCCCCCTCTGTTCCTGGTATACTTTTGAATTCCTTTCTCTTGAGTTAGCTCTGTTTCCACTGAGGTTGGCTTTCCCCTCGATAGTAGCCATTTTGGGGAAAGCTTTGCAAGACCTGAGCTTTCCTTTTCCTGGAAGAGAACCTGCGCAGAACCTGAGCTGCTAGTTGAAGGGAAAGAAGTTCACCTGAAAATAAGCCTTGCAGAACCTGAGCTGCTAGCGAGGGAGAAATCTCCCCTTGTGAACAAGCGCCTTTAAAATTAGCCTTGCAGAAAATCAGCTGCTAGCTAGGGAGGAATCTCCCCTTGTGAACCAGCGCCTCTAAAATAAGCCTTGCAGAACCTGAGCTGCTAGCTAGGGAGAAATCTCCCTTTGTGAACCAGCGCCTTTAGAATAAGCCTTGCAGAACCTGAGCTGCTAGCGAGGGAGAAATCTCCCTTTGTGAACCAGCGCCTTTAGAATAAGCCTTGCAGAACCTGAGCTGCTAGCGAGGGAGAAATCTCCCCTTGTGAACCAGCGCCTTTAGAATAAGCCTTGCAGAACCTGAGCTGCTTGCCAGGGAGGAATCTCCCTTTGTGAACCAGCGCCTTTAAAATAAGCCTTGCAGAACCTGAGCTGCTAGCTAGGGGGAAATCTCCCCTTGTGAACCAGCGCCTTTAGAATAAGCCTTGCAGAACCTGAGCTGCTTGCCAGGGAGGAATCTCCTTTTGTGAACCAGCGCCTTTAAAATAAGCCTTGCAGAACCTGAGCTGCTAGCCAGGGAGAAATCTCCCCTTGTGAACCAGTGCCTTTAAAATAAGCCTTGCAGAACCTGAGCTGCTAGCTAGGGGAAATCTCCCCTTGTGAACCAGCGCCTTTAAAATAAGCCTTGCAGAACCTGAGCTGCTAGCCAGGGAGAAATCTCCCCTTGTGAACCAGCGCCTTTAAAATAAGCCTTGCAGAACCTGAGCTGCTAGCTAGGGGCTGGGTAAATTCTCATGCGAAATCTTCTTTTAATGAAGCATCGTACAACCTGAACCGCCAGCTTTTGAAAGCCTTGTCCCCTTTGCAAGTTCTTTAAAACAAGCCTTGCAACACCTTGCAAAATCTACAAAGTGTGGCCTTTTCTCCTGGCTCTTACCATTCCCCTCCCAGGTACAAGCTGACCCGTCTGGCTGTGGACACAACGGCCGGCCCCTTTCGAAATTACACGGTCCTCTTTCTGGGCTCAGAAGACGGTACAGTGCTGAAGGTCCTTTCCGCCGCCACTGAGAATTCCACGGTCCAGACTTTGCTGCTGGAGGAGATCTCTGTCTACAACCCATCGCTGTGAGTCCTGCCCCTCTGTTTCCATGCACGCTCTTTTATTTCGATCCTTTAATTTGGAGATATATGGGGCTGAACCTGAGGCCTTCTGCTTGCAGGATTGGAGCTCAGCCACTGTTTCCTTCCAGAGCGTCGACAGTTGGGATGGGGGCAGAATTTCGTTTGGTCTGCATTCTAATGCAAAACTTGATGCGCATTTGAAGGCAAAATGCAAAACTTAAAGCAAAATCCAATGCATATCTCAGTGTGAAATGCCGATCTTAATGTGAATTTTAATGCCCATTTAAATAGAAATGTGAAACTTAATGTGGAATTGAATGCAGATTTCAATGTGAAACTTAATGTGGAATTGAATGCACATTTCAATGCGAAACGTAATGTGGAATTGAATGCACATTTCAATGCGAAACTTAATGTGGAATTGAATGCACATTTCAATGCGAAACTTAATGTGTAATTGAATGCACATTTCAATGCGAAACATAATGTGGAATTGAATGCACATTTCGATGCAAAACGTAATGTGGAATTGAATGCACATTTCAATGCGAAGCATAATGTGGAATTGAATGCACATTTCGATGCAAAACGTAATGTGGAATTGAATGCACATTCAATGCAAAATGTAATGTGGAATTGAATGCACATTTCAATGTGAAACTTAATGTGGAATTGAATGCACATTCAATGCAAAATGTAATGTGGAATTGAATGCACATTTCAATGCGAAGTGTAATGTGGAATTGAATGCACATTTCTATTTGCTTGGTATATTAATGTGCCTTTGCCCAATTCACAGCAATATGTGAACTGTGGCACAGCTATCCTTTGAAATCCACGCTTCTCCGAATTTTGCAATAGAGTTTTGCCAACTCTGGGGAAAAATGTGTACAAAACTGCTCAGCTTGGGGAAGAGGGAGCATTAAAAATGCATTGGTCATGAAAAAAACAAAGAAAAACCACACATTACAGTGAGGAGGGGGCGGAACTGATTGCAAAAAAACCTGTCCGTTGCACCATGCACAAACTAAACCACTGATGTTTTTTTGTAAGGACTTTGGGAGAGAAAAATTGTAGCAAACTGAACTTAAAAACAAGGAAACAATGAGAAATGTGAGAGCGACTGAAAGGGAACAGCAACCTGTCCACCTCCCGAGTTTTGTTTTCCTACTACATCAGGTCCAGCAGGTTTTTGTCGTGCTTCTCAGAAGCCAGCTGGACCTGTTTGACCAAGACAGGGGAAAATAATAACCTGGGCATGTCCCAGCAAATGGTGGCTTTCATCGCATGGCTTTCAAGTCTTTCTCTTAAAAAATATTTTTAAAAGCCCAAGCCTGGCAGAACCTCCCCGCCTCCTGCAAGATCAACTCTGCCCTTCCCCTCCCACACTATCTTTTCAATGAGGCTCCTTCTTCTCGCAGCAGGAACCTGTTTTATTTTGAATTTGAAACCTTCTCCCCAGCCTTCACTAACAACATTTGCAGGTGTTTCAGCGTGGGGAAATTTACTGCTTCTGAGGAGGCGTAAAAGGTCTCTTTCGGCTTCCCGTCTCAGCAAAGGGGCATGGAGGGTGGTTTTTTTTGGGGGGGGTGTTACCCCCAACGATTCCAGACACACACACACACGTATTATGCAAACTCCCCTTAATTCTTCTGTTTTTAGCCTTCTAAATATTATCAGCACCGAGGCAAAAATAGAACAGCAAGTTTAATTGGCAATAACATCTTTATCTTATCGGAGTTTGGAGGGGGGGCGCGTTCTGTCTTAGCATTTTAAATTTCTTTGCGCTTCAAGGAGTTTTGAGAGGCGAGCCGTTTCCTACCCCCCTTCTGCACAACTTCCCGTCGCCATTTCCTTATCTCCCCGGGGTGCCCCCTGCCCACCCATTCACGACCCCAGTCACCCGACCCCCACATTCCCTGAATTTTCTGCAACCGCAGCTAAAATGCCTAATAAAACATGACCATTTCCTCTTACGTGGCAAACTCTACAGACCCTAACCCAGCGGATCTCCACCTGTGGGTCCCCAGATGTTGTTGGACTACAACTCCCATCATCCCTGAGCTCTGGCCTTGCTAGCTATGGGTGATGGGAGTTGTAGTTCAACAACATCTGGGGACCCACAGGTTGAGAAAGGCTGCGGACCTAACCCAAACTCGGCCCTCCAGATGTCTTGGGAAATTTCCCGTAGGGGAAATTTTCTGACTGGACACCTGGTAGAGAGATGGACTGAGAATCACATAACACAGGTTTGGGAACTTCATGGTCAGGGAAAAAACAATGCCGTCCAGGGCTGTAAAACTGCGGAGAGAATAATTGGGTGCACTCTTCCCACCTTAGATCAAATCTATGCTGTCAGGTGCCATAAGAAAGAGGCAGAGATAGCGCAGGATAGTGCGCACCCCAGAACTGATCTCTTTCAGCTTCTGCCTTCTGGAAGAAGGTACAGGGTTATAAAGACTAGGACTAGCCGCCTGAGAAACAGTTTCTATGCAAATGCGATTTTGGTTTTAATCGCAGTGTAAGGAGTCTCTATGGGAGTATATTGTATTTAATTGTGGGGTATCAGAGTTTTTAGGGGGCCAACCAGGCTGGGATAGCTGGGATAGCAGGCTTGTTGGTTTTTGAATGTCTGATGTAGATTTTTTCAATTTCGTTGTTCTGTATGGGACAATAACAATAAAGATTATCGTATCAAACTGTGCAGTTGGAAGGGACCCCAGGGGTCATCCAGCCCAACCTGCTGCAATGCTTGATTGGATTTCTATAATCTTGTGTTTCTTTGATGTTCTCTTCCCCTCTCCGCCCCCATCCCAGGTGTAGCGTCAGGAGGGAAGACCGGCGCGTCCTGGGGCTCGAACTTGACAAAGCCAACCACGCCGTTTACGTGGCCTTCTCTGGGTGCGTGGTGCGAGTCCCTCTCAGTCGCTGCGCTGCCTACAGCGCCTGCCGCAGGTTAGTGGAATGACCTAACTTTTTTGCTTTCTGCCTCTTCCTTCTTTCCTAACTCTGCCTGTCTACACTGACTGGCCGCAACTCACTAAGCAGTTGGCTCCTTACCTCTCTCGCTCTGATCTGGCCACAGTGATCCACGCGACGGTCACCTCCAGACTGGATTATTGTAACTCGCTCTACGTGGGGCTGCCCTTGAGACTGACCCAGAAACTCCAGCGGGTGCAGAATGCCGCAGCAAGACTCCTTACGGGGTCCTCGCTGCGAGATCACATTCACCCAGTGCTCTACCAGCTGCACTGGCTCCCGGTGGGGTACAGGATCAGGTTTAAGGTGCTGGTTTTAACCTTTAGAGCCCTATATGGCCTAGGACCCTCGTACCTATGGGACCGCCTCTCCTGGTATGTCCCACGGAGGACTTTACAGTCTTCAAACAAAAACGTCTTGGAGATCCACAGGGAGGTTAGGCTGGCCTCGACCAGAGCCAGGGCTTTTTCGGTTGTGGCCCCGATCTGGTGGAACGCTCTGTCACAAGAGACTAGGGCCCTGTGGGACTAGACATCTTTCCGCAGGGACTGCAAGACGGAGCTGCTTTGGCCAAGGCACAGTCTGACCCCCTCTCTCCTTCTGTAATCCTCATAGCACTCTAGCCCAATGGTTGCCATTAATTTGATTCTGAATTTCTGAATTGATTTTAGAATGAAATGATTTTAGAATGCTGTGTTACTTTTTTAATAATAATGATGATAATAATGATGATGAGAAGAAGAAGAAGAAGAAGAAGAAGAAGAAGAAGAAGAAGAAGAAGAAGTTGTTTTTTTATTATTTATACCCCGCCCATCTGGCTGGGTTTCCCCAGGCACTCCGGACAGCTTCCAACAAAACACTAAAATACAATAGTCTATTAAACATTAAAAGCTTCCCTAAACAGGGCTGCCTTCAGATGTCTTCTAAAAGTTTGGTAGTTATTTTCCTCTTTGACATCTGGTGGGAGGGCGTTATTGTTGTTAGCCGCTCTGAGCCCGGCTTTGGCTGGGGAGGGCGGGATATAAATAAAATTATTATTATTATTATTATTATTATTATTATTATTATTATTATTATTATACAATAGAGGACGCTTTCTCCCAGCCCCATACCTGCAGATTGAACCTGGAGCCTCTCCCCACCCCAACAAAGCTGGTGTTCTCCCTAAAAATAAAGCCAAGTTTCCGGTCCTCATGATTCCAAATGATGGGCTCATTTGAAACAGGAGCCTAGGGAGGTCTCTTACACCAAATCAGCCTGTTTGTCTGTATGCTACCCGGCTCTCCAAGGCTTCCTAAAAACCAGCCAAAGGGGGGAGGCCGATTAGTCCAGCATCCCCCTCTGGTGTAATTTGGGTTTTGCAAGGGTTTCTAAAGTTTTAGAGAGTGTTTGTAGGCTTTTTTTTTTTTTTTTTTGCATGGAAGTCGACTGCGGTTATCATTGGCAATCCTCTTTAATGACTTCTGTGCAATCTTAACAAGCGAAACGGAATTATATTATGTAAGCTTTCAAAATATTTAGAATTAGCCCAGCTGACTGATATAATAAGACGAAAACCAAAAAGTGAAGTGAAAAAGGAATGGGAGTGTCTAAATGAATACCTTAAAAGCCAAGGTTCGAGGACAGAAATCTGGCTGAGTCTGGAATAACCTTGTGAAGTGAAAGGATAAGAAAGAGGGATTTATATCTAGATGTTAGCGTGGAGATGATCAGGAAAACAGGAAGGCACAATGAGAGGTCAAGGAGGGATTGGTGGAAGTCAACGTTTGTTTTTCTTTTTCGTGTTTATATTATTAATTTGTAAGATTTGGATTTGTGTGTGTGTGTGTGTGTGTGTGTTTGTATGCTTGTTTTTGTGTTTTGTGTATTGTTATTTTTCATTATTTTTTTTGTTGCTGCTGTGTGGAAAATTGAATTCCCAAGGCATGCTACAATTTTTTAGCACCCCTCCTTTTTGGAATTTGATAGCTGAAACATTCGACAGGCTGCGACAGGGCAACAGAGGCTGTGTGTGTTGTGTGTGTGTGTGTGTTTGTAAGGTCCTTACAAGGGGCTGCCTACGACCCCCTGATTCACCTTGCGTGACCCGTCCCACCCAGCCCCTCCTGCCCCGAACAGGTGTGGACTGCCGGACCTCGCCGCTTCCAGGAAATGCCGCGCGCCGTGATATTCTGGCCGCAGCTGCCCGCTTCCTTTAATGGTCAACTGAGCCAGCTGCGATCTCGCTCTCCTAAAGGCCACGTCCCCCTTTCTAAATCCCAGCGTGGCAGGGACCCAAAGATCTCTAGGGGTGGAGAGGGAGGGAGAGAAGCAGCCTCTGCGCCAACAGAGGGCGGCATCCTGGCTCGCCTTCCCATCAGCTCTGCTGAAATCGGGGCAGGGAAGCGGTGACTAGTGGCTAGAGCAAAACGGAAGCTGGCCTGTGTGTGTGTGTGTTTGTTGCATTAATATCCCACTTCCCCTGACAAACACACACAAATACCGTATTTTCCGGCGTATAAGACGACTGGGCGTATAAGACAACCCCCCAACTTTTCCAGTTAAAATATAGTTTTTGGGATATACTCGCCGTATAAGACTGCCCCTCTTCCAACGCACACCAAATAATTTTTTTTTTTAAAAAAAGTCTCCAGTCCGGCTCAGAAATCAGCTCCACTTCCCAGCGGCCGGGGGCTTCTGGGGCCAATTTTCAAGCGTATTTCTGCTTCTCCCTGCTCCTGCCAATCTAGCAGTTCGAAAGCACATCAAAGTCCAAGTAGATAAATAGGCACCGCTCCGGCAGGAAGGTAAACGGCGTTTCTGTGCGCTGCTCTGGTTCACCAAAAGCAGCTTAGTCACGACCCGGAAGCTGAAGGCCGGCTCCCTCAGCCAGTAAAGCGAGATGAGTGCCGCAACCCCAGAGTCGTCTGTGACTGGACCTAATGGTCAAGGGACCCTTAGGTCTAGTCGCGGACAACTCTGGGGTTGCAGCGGTCATCTCGCTTTACTGGCCGAGGGAGCCGGCCTTCAGCTTCCGGGTCATGTGGCCAGCATGACTAAGCCACTTCTGGCAAACCAGAGCAGTGCACGGAAATGCCGTTTACCTTCCCGCCGGAGCGGTACCTATTTATCTACTTGCACTGGTGTGCTTTCGAACTGCTAGGTTGGCAGGAGCAGGGACCGAGCAACGGGATCTCACCCCGTCGCAGGGATTCAAACCGCCGACCTTCTGATCAGCAAGCCCTAGGCTCTGTGGTTTAACCCACAGTGCCACCCGCGTCCTTTAAGGATCCCTTTACCTTTTCCTTTATGTTTGAAGACTTTCGGATAAATATATCCTGTTATTTTCTACGTTTCTCAGGTATAACAACTGAAAATGATCAGTATTAATAATAATTGCATGGTGTGCTTTTTTTTCTTTGTATATTTAATAACAAGAACTCCAACTCATTTAAGGGGAGGGCCGGCAGAAGCCTTTGACCTTCCCGCTTTCCGAGCGAAAACGTTTATTTTCTTCTCCGTTTGCAGGAGCTGCTTGGGATCCCGCGATCCGTACTGCGTTTGGCTGAGCACAGGGGCCTGCGTTGCGTTCAGCAGCGAGATCAGGTGAGGTGGTTTTGGGGGGCGGCCATCCCTGTTCTTACAACGCAGGTGGGCAAGGACCTTTGGCCCTCCCAAAGTTTCCCCTGAATTGCCCTGTTTTTTCTCTCTCTTTCTGCCACCCCTCTTCCTCTCTCTCCTCCTCCTTTTCTAACACCTCCCTTTTCTTACTCTTCCCGATACCCCTTTCCTTCCTTCCTTCCTTCCTTCCTTCCTTCCTTCCTTCCTTCCTTCCTTCCTTTCTTTCTTTCTCTCTCTCTCTCTCTCTCTTTCTCTCTTTCTCTCTTTCTTTCCTTCCTCACTCTTCCAAAATCATATATTTCCTCTTTGTTTTTGTTTCCATTTTATTTATTTATTTATTAACGCTCTTACGTTACATATTGCATGCATTGTCATATTACATTACAGGGCTCGTTATAATATAATTTCTGACATGTATACAAAGTTTATATACAAAATTTATATACCTAACGAAAGAAAGAAAAAGAAAAAAAGAAAAAACTAAGACCAAAAGCTATTCCAAAATCATATATTTCCTTTTTTGTTTGTTTCGTTTCCATTTTATTTATTTATTAACGTTCTTACATTACATATTGCATACATTTGTCATATTACATTACAGAGCTTATTATAATATAATTTCCAACATGCATACAAAGTTTTTATACAAAATTTATATACCTGAAGGAAGAAAGAACGAAAGAAAAAGAAAAAAACAAAGACAAAAAGCTATTCCAAAATCATATATGTACCAACACTTTGGACTTCCTGTCAAACCTGTTGTATATTACTTTTTTACAAATGAATGTACTCTTATTATTGTATATTTCTTTACATTTTATCTAATACATTCCCATATCAATATGTACCCTTAATCTTATTTCTCAACTCAATTCCTCTCCAACGTCAACGGATGCTAGCATAGATAGCGAACCTTTACTGTATTTTTGAACATATATCTTACACCTATCCCTCTGACACCCCTTTTCCTTTCGTTCCTTCCTTTTCTAACATCCTGTTTTCTCATTCTTTCTTTGGCTTCCGACTCCCTCTTCCCTCTTTCTTACACCGCCTGCAACCTTCTGCCCTCCAGATATTTTGAACTACGTCTCCCATCAGCCTTAGCAAGCATAGCCAGCGGTCAGGGATGATGATGGGAGTTGTAGTTCGGCCACATAGGGAGGGGCGACAGTTCCCCCCACCTGCTTCCAGAGATCTTTTCTTCTTCTTCAGTGTGGTATCTGCTAGACTTTGGAACTCCCTGCCCATTGACGCCAGGCAACTGCCTTCACTCCATTGTTTTCAGCGCCTACTAAAAACTTCTGATTTAGCACAACCTATTTAGATATGTCAGGACCGCGCATTTTAATACGTAATTTCGTTTTACGATGTACATTTCAACTACTGGTTACATTTATAATTTGCTTTTGGGTGAACTTGTTTCTGACTCTTTATCAATCATCTTAATGAATCTTTTATGATCGTCTTAATGTATATTTCATATTTTGCGCAAGCCGCTTAGAAGTTTTTACGATTCAGTGGCCTTACACATTCTGTTAAATAAATAAGGGCTGTAAAAGCATCTTATTTCTCTCAATTGAACCAAACTCCTCCTGAAGAGATTCTCTTCCAGCTGACAGATGCATTTTCTTAAGGTTTTTTTTAATACTATATATCCTTTCGCTTTTTCCCCTCCTGCATTTAATTATTTCCTATCTCGGTAGCTGTTGTACATGCAAGTTTGCTGTTCCCTCTGTTGCGAACCATTTTGAATGCACACTTGGGGAAGCAGGCTACGTAAAGATTTATTTAACAGATAAAGCCAAATTCCTTCTCACTTCTTCTACCCCACACCCACCCCCACTTTTGGATCTGATGGTGCTTCCTAGAACCCCCAAGACACCCCCTGCCTGGTCAGTTTGAGCATCCTCAACTGTCTCTGCCCCAGCATCCTTTCTGCATCACCATGAGGACTAGAAACCTGACTTTCTGTTGCTTGGAAACAATGAACCAAAGGGGCCTTTTGGGTCACCGAAGGACTTGGCTGATTTTGCAAAGAGCTTCGTTTTGCCCCTCACCCTGAATCCCAGTATGTTTCCGAGCACAATTCAAAGTGCTGGTGTTGACCTTTAAAGCCCTAAACGGCCTCGGCCCAATATACCTGAAGGAGCGTCTCCACCCCCATCGTTCTGCGCGGACGCTGAGGTCCAGCGCCGAGGGCCTTCTGGCGGTTCCCTCATTGCGAGAAGCAAAGCTACAGGGAACCAGGCAGAGGGCCTTCTCGGTGGTGGCGCCCTCCCTGTGGAACGCCCTCCCATCAGATGTCAAAGCGATAAACAACTACCTGACATTTAGAAGACATCTTAAGGCAGCCCTGTTCAGGGAAGCTTTTAATGTTTAATAGATTATTGTATTTTTGGTTTCTATGGAAGCCACCCAGAGTGGCTGGGGAAACCCAGCCAGATGGGCGGGGTACAAATAATAAATTATTATTATTATTATTATTATTATTATTATTATTATTATTATTATTATTATTCCCATCCCTCCTCCCTCTCCGCAAACCCCCAGCCCCCCACAATGCTCCATTTTCTAAATATTCTCCTTGACCCACAGCCATCCCATGCCAGCGTGTTTCCTCAAACATCTCTGACTGGCGAAGGAAGGGAACAGGAGGGTGAATTGTCTGGCTCTTTGGGGGCTCGTAACTTGTCGGGTTCTGTTTTCTTTAATTTCCCACCTCATGTTTTTTTTTCCTGAGTGCCAGCCAATTGATTAATTAGCGGAGGATTTAATCAAGCTGGCAAGCTCCGTTTTAATGAGATTTCTCTCTTCCACCCTTGTCTCTCCCCCTCCATCCACAGAGGCGGCTTTGAGCAAGACGTCGAAGGCTCCGTCAAGTACGTGGGGAACTGCCAAGGTGAGAGTCTTCTGGGGGCAAGGGGGGTCTTTTGCACAGCCGGACCGGCCAGGAAGCCACGTTGCTGTTTTCGCACGGAGAACCGGCGCTCGCTCCGAGTTCCGATCCTGCTATAAAACTCACTGAGCCGAACGAAAATGGCTGGGCGTGTGTCCTTTTCCTGTTGCTGGCGCACAGAAACATCGACTCTGTTGGCGGGCGGCTGAAAAGCCGTTTTGTGTAGGAAATAACGGCTCATCCCCTAAAGAGGGTTTTTTTCTCCCTTTTTCGGCTTGAATTGGCGGCACTCCAGATTTCTCCACTAAGCCCATTGAGTCCCTCAAGGAACTCCTAGACGGTGACCACTGAGTCAACTTGTTTTTGACGCTCCGGTGAAAAGCCTCCCCGGCCCTTTTCACCAATTCCCGAGGGCCACATCTGCTTCCAAGCAACTGTCCCGAGGGCCACATTCTGGGGCGGACGGGTCCGTAGGCAAAAAGTGGTTTCACAGAGGACTCGTTTCTTGGCGAAAGGCACTATCTTGGGTTCGAGGGCAGAGAAGACACTCGAGGCGCAAAGTAGGGGCCACGAGTAGTCTGAGGAGGCTTCCAAGGGCCAGATGGAGAGACCTGGAGGGCCAGGGCTGATGTCTCCACCCACGAGCAAATGGCTTTCCAGATTGCCCCATGCTTAGCTGCCTAGGAGCACCCAGTTCCTCTGCCTTTATCCCCGACCCAGTCTCTTGTCTCCCCCTTCGCTTTTTAGATGTCGTAACGGCCCCCGGGAGCCGCGATGGCACCAGCGACTCTGCATATGGTCAGTACGTCCGTCTCCCCTCCCTCCCTCCTTCCCCAAGCTCCTTGTTCTTCCTACCCCTCCAGTCTCCTTCCGCCGCTTATTCCGCCCCCCAAAAACCCAATCACCTGCCGCCCCACGCTCTAGCGGTGGCGTAGAGGTCAGCCTTGTCAACACTCAAAAGCCCATCTTGGCCATTGAGGTTCAAATGGGGGAAGGCCGCCATATTGGATGGGACTATCATGGCGGTTCAACGCTGGATTTGTTGGGTTAGAGCCAGCTCAGCTCTGCTCCTAGTGGAGGCGTTGAAATTAATAGACCTGTGTTAGCCATGTCTATGTCAATTTCAACGCGTCTGCCCTAAGCATGACCAAGCCATTGGATCTTGGGATCCTCCGCGTTGACGTCCAATCGGAGGCGCCATCTTGAGAAGATCCAGTCAGCTTCCAGTGGTTTTTTTTTTTAGCAAAAAGGCTACTGGTATGTGAACTGATGACAGGATGTTCCTATTTTCTCCATCGCGAGGGTCTCAAAAGACCCCTTGGGACAAAGCCGCCTCCGTCCAAGGCCTTTCCCGGTTGCCACGGTTACCAGCCTCCTGTTGCTTAGGCCCAAGATGGCTGCCGGCCAAGTCCATTGAAGGTTTATTCTCTTAAACTCTTTCCTCAAAAGCAACAGGAGGAGGAGGAAGAGCGGAACCCCACACCCTCCGCTTCTGTCGTCTGGGGAACGCGGGAATTCCCACAAACTGGTTTTCAAAACTAACAAGGGACAAATCACTGCTCACTTCCTGTCACATCAAGCGCCATTTCCTCATCCATCCCACCAACATCCCACTCTCATCATTTACTGCAGAAGTGGGCGGCGGAAGGTCTTGTTACGGTTAACCAACCCCCTGCCGCTCTCTTTGTATTATTTCCAGAAACTGTGTATAAAACCCACTCTCCCCTTTATGGCTTTTGAGAGGGATGGTCTCCGTGCGAACCAAGAAACCTTTCCTCTTTATGTGCGTGTGTCATTCTCCAGGGGCAGAATTTGACCCTCCCTTAACAAACGCAGCTGCGGTTTTTATGTCGAGCCCGAAGGGTTGAAATTGAACCACGTTCCCACTGTGCCATTTAAAGCTCTATAACGCAACTTTGAACTGTCATGGCTTCTCCCAAAGGATTCTGGGAATGGGTCGTTCGATACGGGTGCTGAGACCCATGTTTGCCCTCGCAGAGCTACGGTTCCCAAGGTTCCCCGTGAAGAGGGATTGGCCATTAAACCACTCTGAGAATCGTAGTTCTGGGAGGGGAATACGGGGGAGGGGGGTTCCTTCTTCCACCTCTCAGCACCCTAAACAAACTACAGTTCCCATAATTCTTTGGGTGGGGAGCCATGACCGTTCAAAGCAAGATGCATGGTGGAAAAGTGGCTTCTGTTTATTTGATGAGGGAGCAATTTCTGCTGCTTCAGCCGTGGTCCTCCTAGATCTTCAGCCATGGTCCTCTGAATAATCCCAGGCCTGAGGGGAGACCAATAGGAACTTGATCTCCACAGGCTCCCTCTACTCTAAGCGAAGGACCCAGGCGTCCGGGCTGTGTGGAACCCAGGCGTCCTGGCATGCCGACAAGCCCACACTCCGGAGCTTAGATGGGGCAAGCAGCTCTGGCGATGAAGCTCTCTGCGCAGGCAATCAGCTCCCTGCAGGAGGCCCTGCTTCCCTGCCCTCCCCACCTCACCCCCTGAGTCCAGCTCCCCCAAGCAAGAGAGCTCCAGAGCCAATCCGACGCCTGGAAGGAAATTAAAACCGAAGCGACTCCATTAATTACCCAGCAGGGGAGAAATCTCTTGATTTAATGCGTGGGGGGAGGAAGGAGCGGGAAGAAGGAGGAATAGGAGGCTGTTGTCTTCTGTGAGCATCAATGGCGGGGGGGATGAGGGCAAAATTTGGGGGTGCGCACATATTTCCTGGCCCCTCTCAAGCCTCCTCTTTCTCCTGACCTGAGACCGGTCCTTTTCCAGGCTCGTCTCAGATCTCAGTCCTACTTAGAGTAGACCCATTGAAATTCAACAGACACGGTTGACTCAGGTCTGTTCTGAGGAGGGCTCCGGGGTCAGCTGAAGGTGATTTTTGTTGGGGGGGGTCTTCTGGAGCAACAGACCTCCCCCTTCCTCCCCGCTTCTTATCCCTGTCTCGCTGCAAATCTTGGCCGCTTCCACTCTCCACTTCCTGCGAGGACTGTGGGGCCGGCGGGGGACGTAGGGGGGACACACACGTGTCTGGGATTCATTAGGCAACTTGGCTGGCTCGGCGTTTGGGGGGGGCGGCTGACACGCAAGCAGACGGAGGCTCTGCGGATTGCAAAACAGTTGCACAAACTCTGCCGATCAGTTTTTTTTGGGGGGGGGGGGCTTTTTAACCTTCTCTTAATCGCCTACATAAAGCCCAGGACACATTTGAGGAAGGAGAGAGAGAGACACGGGGACATTTTATGGGTGATATCTGACTAAGGCCGTATTCGCACCCTGCGTTTAAAGCGCAATAATTCCACGTTCGACCATCATGGCAGCTGTAGTTGGTTAAGGTTGCTGGTTAAGGGCCGCTCACCATTTCCTCTCCCGGCGCTACAATTCCCAGCGCGATCCTTCTTCCCGGGGAAATCACTAAACCCCTCTGGGATCTGTAGCGCCGGGAGGGGAAATAGGGGTCTCTCTGCACCCTCAACAAACTGCAGCTCCCAGAATTCTCTGGGGGAGGCCCTGACCATTTAAAGCAGCGGTTCTCAACCTGTGGGTCCCCAGATGTTGTTGGACTACAACTCCCATCATCCCTGAGCTCTGGCCTTGCTAGCTGGGGGTGATGGGAGTTGTAGTTCAACAACATCTGGGGACCCATAGGTTGAGAAAGGCTAATTTAAAGCCATATCACAGTGCCTTAAACATAGGGTGTGTCTCCTACACAGAGTAGACCCACTGGAATGAATGGAACTTGGTCGTGTTGATTTATTTTCAATGGGGCTCCTCTCAGCGGTACTAGCATCGTACCCAACATTAGTCACGGCCAGAGCAGACTCCATGGAATGAATGAATACAACTAACTTCGGCCCATTCATTTCAGTGGGTTTACTCTTGAGTAGAACTGAGTTGGGTACCAACCAACCCTTTCAGAACGGTTTACCCATGTGCCTTGGCAGGTGAGGGATAAAAGCTCTTTTCACACCTGATCCCTATGAGTTACTCTGCGCAAAAAGAACAGCTTTTGAGCTCTCGGCCTTGCAAGGCCCGCTTAGCGTGCCAACTACAGAAGTCTAGAAATCCTTGCACGGTGGCACAAACCAAAAGAGTGGCTTAAATATGCATTTTCCCGTGCATAAGACTATATTTCTCCCCCCCAAAAAAAATTAAAGTTTGAAATTGGAGGTTGCCTTATACACGGAATGTTGCATTTATTTATTTCTTAATTTGGGGTTCAAAAAAAAGTAAGGGGCGTCTTATACATGGGGGGCGTCTTATACGCGGAAAAATACGGTGTGTGTTTTTGAGGAAACCTCGGAACTGATCCCCTGCATAAGGTGTGATTGTACGGTGTTTGCGGAGACCTTTCCTGGGTCCGCAGCCTTCGCTGTGGCTCTTTAGAGGGGGCCCTCCTCCCATTACCCCCCAACTGGCCACCCCCCAAAAAATGTCATTATTTTATTGCTTCCTCCTCCTGACACTGTCTTTATCACCGGCAACACAGGAAAGACGCAGACCTCCGCCGCCACCACCGCTCTCTCCTCTCCCTTCCCAGAAGCGCCCACTGGGTCTCCTCCCGCTAGCTTGGCTCCCGACGCCCGCCTGGCCCCGGGCGCAGGAGGGCCACGCTCCACCCTCCACGTGGCTGTGAGCAAGCAGGGTAAGAAGGGGCCGATCACCTGACCCCCCGACCCTCTCTGCCCGCATGCGCACACACAGACACATGCGCCGTGTCCCCACGCCCCGTCCCTGCAGTATGGCACCCCCGTGATAACAGCAAGCTGTGCAAGAACCACTAACTTGTGCGCGGAGGGCCTGGCGGTGGAATGCAGAGGCATGTGAAATGGTTGCGTCGCTGTATCTTGCACGTCGGGGAGCAGGGGTTGCGCAAGCCGCGCACGGTCGCCTCTCTCTGAGCAAAGGACAAAGAGTCTTATTTAGGATCCTGGGTGGGAGGTGCGATTGCGCTCACCGGAAGCGAAAGCTTTGTCTCTCTGTTATTATTTTTTCCATAATATTTCATTTACGTTTTCTTGGTCTACAAAGGTATGCGCACAACGTCCCTTTTTTCAAGTTACATTTTCCATAGGTCAGTTTCATTTGTTGAGACATTAGGATGCAAAAAGGGACGTGCGTGGCGCTGTGGGTCAAACCACAGAGCCTAGGATTTGTCGATCGGAAGGTCGGCGGTTCGAATCTCCGCGATGGGGTGAGCTCCCGTAGCTCGATCCCTGCTCCTGCCAACCTAGCAGTTCGAAAGCACATCAAAGTGCAAGTAGATAAATAGGTCCCGCTCCGGCAGGAAGGGAAACAGCATTTCCGTGCGCTGCTCTGGTTCGCCAGAAGCGGCTTAGTCATGCTGGCCACATGACCCGGAAGCTGCACGCCGGCTCCCTCGGCCAATAAAGCGAGGCATGGGGAGGCTTTGAATGAGTCCCGTCTGCAGTCTTCCCATCTGTAAATAATAATAATAACAACAATAATAATGATACAGTGGTACCTCTGATTGTGAACAGGATCCATTCTGGAGCCCCGTTCGCAACATGAGCAGAACGCAACCCACGTCTGCGCGGGTCGCGATTCGCCGCTTCTGTGCATGCGCATGATGTCATTTAGAGCGTTTGCTCATGCGTGAGTGGCGAAACCCGGAAGTAACCCTTTCTGGTACTTCCAGGTTGCCGCAGGACGCAACCTGAAAAGATTTAACCTGAAGCAAACGTAACAAGAGGTATGACTGTAATGATAATAAGAATAATAAAATTTATACCCTGCCCATCTGGCTGGGTTTCCCCAGCCACTCTGGGCAGCTTCCAAGAAAAGATTAAAAATACATTAAATTGGGGCGATCGGTGTGTCCCGCCTCTCAGGGTTGCTGTGTGGTGGGCACTATCGCCTCGCTGGCAGGCAGAGTTTGAGGAGGACTTGATGGGATGGAGAGGAAGGGAACCGCCAGCTTTCTGTGTGCCAGGGTGGGGTGGGGGAAATAACCCTGATGAAGCAGGAGAGAAAGAACTGAGAAACGGCCCCCAGCGGAAATAGCTCTTAAGAGCTGATCCATTTTGGGAGAATTAGGCGTAATGCGTATTGCAAACACGCTCTCTCCTGAACACAACAAGGCATGCATATATATATATATATATTTCTGCCCCCACTCCGAAGCAAAATGTGAGGAGATGGGTTTTGGCAGGGGGGAGAAAATAACCCTCAAATTGCAAGCAAAATGCCCCCAGACAGCTGCGTAGAAATGAGAGAATTAAGCTGGCAGGGAAGATAAAGGTGTGCGAGGGGAGAGAACAGCCGCCAAAAATAAGCTGGATTTTGTTTTTCAATTTAGGGAGAAGCAGGTCTCCTGGGAAAGTGTTTTGTGAGCGTTCTCTCCTCCCAAACCCCAGGCACAATCTGAATTTGGAGTGGTTTCCTCTTCTGAGTCCAGGTCCTTCTCTGTACATGCTCAGAGGTTCCCTTCCCACCCGGCAGGCAGTGGGAGCCATTGCTATGATTATATGGGTCTGTATGTCTCTTCATTTTTGAACCAGAGAAGAATCGCAGAGGGTTGGTCTAGCAGAGACTAGGATTAGGATTGCAGTTACTGTGGGTTAAACCACAGAGCCTAGGACTTGCCGATCAGAAGGTCAGCAGTTTGAATCCCCGCGACGGGGTGAGCTCCCGTTGCTCGGTCCCTGCTCCTGCCAACCTAGCAGTTCAAAAGCATGTAGATAAATAGGTACCGCTCCGGCGGGAAGGTAAACGGCATTTCCGTGCGCTGCTCTGGTTGGCCAGAAGTGGCATGGTCCTGCTGGCCACATGACCCAGAAGCCGTACGCCAGCTCCCTCGGCCAGTAAAGCAAGATGCGCGCTGCAACCCCAGAGTTGGTCATGACTGGACCTAGTGGTCAGGGGTCTCTTTACCTTTACTATCAGTATTTAAGGCAGACGTGCTGCAAACTGCCTGAAGGAAGCTCACATGATAATCTGCATTTTATAAAATTATATGCATGGCACAGAGTGAGTGGCGAGGGGGAAATTTTGTCTCCTGCTCCCTCCAAGCACTGGAACTCGTGCATGTACAGCGAAGCTGAACTTTGGAAGACTTATTCACATAATGCATAGTTAAACAGCGGAACTCTCTCCCACTTGAAGCAGTAATGACCACCACTTTAAAGGTCTTTTTTTAAAAAAGGATTAAATAAAATGGATTGATCTGTTGTGAATCTGCAGACTTCGCCTCTAGCAGAAATATGGCCTCTCTGTATCTCTGCAAGGAGGAAAGGGACCTAGTTCAGTGGCAGAACAGGGGAAAGTTCCCCGGGTTCAATCGCTATACCCTCTGGATGGGCTGAGAATGTGGGTGGCGCTGTGGGTTAAACCACAGAGCCTAGAACTTAATAATCAGAAGGTCGGCGGTTCGAATCCCCAGGACGGGGTGAGCTCCCGTTGCTCGGTCCCTGCTCCTGCCAACCTAGCAGTTCGAAAGCACGTCGAAGTGCAAGTAGATAAATAGGTACCGCTCTGGCAGGAAGGTAAACGGCGTTTCTGTGTGCTGCTCTGGTTTCCAGGAAGTGGCTTAGTCCTGCTGGCCACATGACCCGGAAGCTGTACACCGGCTCCCTCGGCCAGTAAAGCGAGATGAGCGCCGACACCCCAGAGTCGTCCACGACTGGACCTAACAGTCAGGGGTCCCTTTACCTTTACCTAAGGTTTAGTAGTGTTTTGCAGCCTAGCTCCTGCCCACCCTCTGCCTTCCACCCAGGCTGGCCAGAGGCATTGCTCAGAGTCCAGGGACGTGTCCCAGAATGGCAAATGATATTTGGGGTGCAAATAGGGTGTGGTTGAGAGAGAGAAAGCGAATGGCCTGGATGTAGTTCCAAGGGCCAGGCAGCTGCCCTGGAGCTGCCAAACCCTTAGCTCTGGGTTCTGCTCAATTTATTGACCTGGCGTGCTGATCCAAACACGCAGGCCCCCACGACACTCGAGGAAACAGGGATGCAGTTAGAGGGGGGAAACCTCTGAACGAAACGAGGGCTTCCTCCTATTCAGAGCAAAGAAAAGCACATCTACCCACAGAACAGCTTTCAAGGAACGAAACATCAAACCGTTGCACAGCCCTGACTGGGGCGGGGAGAGGAAGGCCTTCTTGGCAGAGGCCCGCCGCTAATTAGCTTGCAATCTTCTTGCCAAGGGGCAAACGTGTCTTTTATTTTATTTTTAAAAGAGACGCTCTCCCTTTTTTTATTTCTGGAGATCAGCTGTTCAGCGTTAAACCTTCCCTTCGGCCTGCCTTTGCCGAGGCCGCCAGTTCAGCTGATCTCGTTGGGACGGGTGAACGGGATGGTGTTTGTGTGTGCCGTTTTCAGATGCTCTTCTTGTTCGGCGTTATTTTAATTATTTGACCGCATGCCACTTAAAAACAAAAAAAGCTCCCGAATAATGAAATCCTGTGCTGAGGAAAGCGGTTTTCTGCGGCCTGTACAATTACAATGCTAAATGTATCCCGCCACCTCTCTAATTTCCGTTTCCATAGATGCAGCACATCGTTACCCTGTGGAACTCCCTGCCACAGGAGACGGTAACAGCCACCAATTCAGAGAGCTTTGAAAGAGGATTAGATAAATCATGAACTCTCGTCCTCCTTTTTCCAGCCCTTTAAGCCCCTGGCCACTGCCAGATCTTGTTGCCAGAAGTTCCACAGGTTTGTACCATCTTACTACGCATTCCACAATGAAGCCTTTACCCTTTTTGGCCACTCCTAAATATGCTGCAAAACAGTTTCTCCAAGACAATCCACAAGTACTAGTATCCTCTAAGGGAGGTATTTTTCAAAGAGAATTTAGGAGGGTTGCGTCCTGCAAGGGCCCTACTCAGGGTAGCCCCATTGAAATTAGCAGGCATGACAAACAAAAGTCCTTTTTCCATTGGTCCCCCCCCCATTATGTTTTTACTGTATTTTTACTGTTGTTAGCCACCCTGAGCCTGACTTTGGCCAGGGAGGGCGGGGTATAAATTAAATTTATTATTATTATTATTATTATTATTATTATTATTATTATTATTTCAACACGTCTACTCTGAGTAGAGCTTAGCCAGGCAAAAGCCTCTCTGGTTTAAATTACGGCTCAAAAAGCACGTTGCGAGTCTGAGGCAGTAAAATAAGACCGCTGGTTGCTGCTATCTAGGCTTGCAGCCAGGGAGACTTTTATTGTGAAGTTTTGAAAAGGCAGGAAAAATAAGCCAGACTTGAGACTTCCTGTTTTCCATGAAGGGGGTTAAGGAGAAAGAAAAGGGGTCTCCGAGAGAGAGTATTTATCGAAGGAACCGCTGGCTTGTCAATCTTCTTTCCGAAAGCGAGGGCTGCATTCAAAAGCACCTCCGAAATAATTTTAGCGTTCCAAAGAGCACCAGGTTGTTCCCGTTATAAAACAAGGCAGGGCTTAGTGATGGGGAAAGAATTCAGTTAATTCTGTGTTTAAAAGTACCGTATTTTTCGCCCTATAGGACGCACTGGCCCATAGGGCGCACTTATTTGCGGGGGGGGGGGGAATAAAGAAAAAAAATTACCCCCCCCCGAGCTTGCCGGGCTGGGGGTGGGGGAAGCCCAAGGTGGGGGAAGCCCCCAGAACGGGTCTGGGAACGATGGCGAGGTTGCGCTCAACCTCGCCATCG